CCAGGCAGCGACCTGCAAGGCAGGAGGTATCAGAGGAGCTGGGGGTCAGGTGGTGAGGGAAGGGTGGGGGGTTGCCGCCCCCCGGTGTCTGGGCCCATGCACCAGGAGTCGCTGCCCTGACCCCACGCAACCAGCCCCAGCTCCTGGGGCGTCTCCTTGGGCACCATGAGCCTGTTTCCAGGGCTGGTTCTATCGTGAGTCCCCCCTCCTGGTACCCGGCCCGGCTGGCGCTGTTCCAGGCTGGATCGGGTTGGTTCCCCCCGCGGTCATTCTGCACCTGCTCAGCCTGGGTTTGAAGGGCTCCTTGCTGCTCTCCAGGGTTCCTGCATCAGGTTTCATGAGCCCTGGGAGCAGGGGCTACACCAGGTGTCCCAGGATCACTCTGGGCATTTCAACACCCCCCACTGGAATCTTCTGGTGCGGAAAGAAAGCCCCTGCTTGCAGCTCTCTGTCCAGGCCAGTGTTCCTGACGATGTGAGCGTCATGCCCCTTCCCGGAGCACCCCGCGCTGGGGTCAGTGAAACGCCCACGGTGATCCCCAAGTGCCTGCAACACCCTGGAGAAGTCCCCTTCCTACTGATGTGTCTGTCGCAAGATGGTCCGGGGCAAAAACTGGAACCTGCGTTGCCTCTATCGCCCCGCTGCAGTTAGGGAATCCCAATGCGCAAAGCCCCTCCGCTATTTCACGCACATTGCCAAGGGTCACAGTCCTTCGTAGTGAGATGCGATTAACGGCTCCGCGCACTAGTGTTAACGCCGTGCCCACGGTCAACTTCCCCACTTCCAGCGGATTCACGACTGGCCGGGAGCAACCTGGAGTCGCCAGCGTCCACACAGCGATCGCTGGGCACTTCTCCACGAGAGGCTGCTCTCATTTGGGTGTCCTTGCGCCGCAGGGCTGGGGCGAGCTCCGCACACAGGTCCAGGGAGGGGGCTTTCCGCATCCGAACGTTCTGTAGCCACGGCTCGTCATCCCAGACCGGGCGACTGGGAACTGCAGATAGTGGGGACGGGGGGGCGCAATGACGGGCTCCCCACCGCCACCACCACTGCCCCGGTCAGCTTCCTGGTGACTGCCAAGGCCCCTCCAGCAACACCCTTGTGACCACAGCGCCTGGGCGGTCGCCCACCTCACCCACACTTAAGGCCAGCCCTGCCAGGGTCGGCCTTAGGGAAAATGGCGCCCTAGGCAAACATGTATTTTGGCTTCTTGGCCCCTGCTGCCTCCCCCAGCCCCCCACCCCCCATATTGCCCCAGCCCCTGCTGCCTCCCCCCCTTGCCCCGAGTCCCTGAGCTCCCGTCTGTGCACCCAGGCAGGCTAGTTCAGACCCGCACTCAAGCAGGTCCATACATTTCCCTGCTGGTTTAATACTTAGTTCACCAGACCTGTGTCACCCGTGAAGAGGAGTTATTCTCACGGGAGCCATGCGGCTGCCAGGCGAGGAAGGGATGGGACTCAGCCGGCTTCCCCAGGCCCCCTCCGGCAGAGAGCTGCGCTGCCAGCCCGGTCTCACTTCCCGGCTCTGGGCCACACCCAGTGGGTCTCAGCGGGAGCGCTCGCTGCTGGTGCCTTTCCCACGCACAGGCCAACTCGCACCCTGGCAGAAATCCGGGGAGGGGGGGGAGGGCATGTGACCCCATGTGACCCCCACACACACACACGCGCGCTGCTTATCCCAGACCTGCATAACAATATGATCCCACCACTCAGTGCTTGATTCCCAAGCCCCAAAGCGACGCTCCGCCGTGTGCAGCCGCTCCGTGATGCCAGGAGGAAGCTGGTGTTGTTTCTCTCCATGGCACAGAGCAGCTCGGGCAGCTCTGGTTCCCGTTCAGACTGGGAGCTCATGACACACTGCCTGACCAGCCGTGCTGCGTTCACAGGAGTGGAGAGCCGCGCGGGATCCATCCTTTCACACAGGGATGGCGGGCGCACCGGAAACAGGGAAATGCTGCGAAACGCAGTCGGAACAGCATGGAATAACGCACCATGGGACGCTGAGCCCGCCCCCAGGACATACTGCGATCCACTCTGCCTTCCCACAAGCCCTAGCTGCAGAAGGTGCGGAGTAGCACGGTGGGATAGCTACCCACAATGCACTGCTCTCGCTGTCGACGCTGGAGCACCAAACGTGGACGCGCTCTGCCGGCAGAGGAAGCGCAGTGTGAACGTGCAATAGCGATGTTATTGTGGCGCTTTTTGTCGACAACACTCTGTAGTGTAGACAAGGCCCAACCATCAGAGGAGCGAAGTTCTGGAGCAGCCTCCCAAGGGACCTAACTGGCTTCAAGACTGAGCTCGAGACGTTTCTGGAGGGGACGGGATGAGGAGACATCCCACAAGGGCATGGAACCGATCCACGACTGCTAGACGCAAATCTCTCCAATGGCCAGAGAGGGGACACTCGCTGGGGAGGGCTCTGAGTTACTACAGAGAATCCGTTCCCAGGTGTCTGGCGGGTGGGTCTTGCCCACATGCTCAGGGTCTAACTGGTCGCCGTATCTGGGGTCGGGAAGGAATTTCCCCCCCAGGTCAGATTGACAGAGACCCTGGGGGGGTTTCACCTTCGTCTGCAGCCTGGGGCGCGGGGCACTGGCAGGTTTCAACTAGTGTCACTGGTGGATTCTCTGTAACTTGAAGTCTTTAACCCATGATTTGAGGCCGTCAGTGACTCAGCCGGACGCTGGGGTCTGCTACAGGAGTGGGTGGGTGAGGCTCTGTGGCCTGATCAGACCAGATGATCACGATGGACCCTTCTGGCCTTAAAGACTGTGAGTCAATGAGTCTGTTGCACCCTGGGGGCCGGCGCCCCATGGCTGCGGGGGGCTCTCACTGCAGGGCCCCCTGGCTCACGTTGATCGCGGCGTACATGCTGGGCTGGACAGGCGCAGGCTCAGGGGCAGGGGCCGGCCCCCCCGGCTTGGCCTGCAGCGCCTGACAGTCCAGCTCGGCGTAGGTGAGTCCGTCAGCACCGGGGTTGGGCTCCTGGGGGTGGGAGGGGAGAGAGTGAATGGAGTGTGTGTGTGTGTGTGTGTGTGTGTGTGTACCAACCCCCACCACACACACATTCACACAGACCAGGGCTTGTACCCTTCAGCAGGGGGTGACAGGACACACATACACACACACATCTACAATCCCAGCTGGAGATCCCATAAGCCCCTCCCAGCAACCCAACTCCCACCCCAAAATACTGAGTGTGCCAGATAAGGTGAGTGGGGCCTTTGGGGGTCAGGCCCCATGGGGGAACAGGGGACACTTACCGGGGTCTGCGTCTCTTTCCCTTCATCGATGGAGGAGTCTGCAGAACAGAGACACCCGCTGAGCTGCACCCGCAGCCGGCCCAGAGCAGAACCCCACACCCAGCTCTGACCCCTCTGTCCAGCCAGGGGGCTCAGAGACCTACACAGCCACCCCTCCCCCGCCCCACAGCACGGGCCAGGGTCATTAGCCCCGTGTTACAGAGAGGAAAACTGAGGCACAGAGACGGCAGCAGAGTCTAGGGGGTTATGGCGGGGCAGGGGGGCTGGGAGTCGGGACTCCTGGGTGAAGTGAAGGGGGGACACACAAAGCTCCAGGCCTGGGATGGGAGAATGGGGGGCCCACAGAGGGAGTCCCTGAACTAGAGGGGGAGGGTGGCCCCCAGGGAGTTGATGGGGAGGGAGGCAAGAAGCCGGGAGTGGATGGGGAACTAGAGCGGGAAGGGAGGGTGGCCCCAGGGAGCTCCTGGGAGTCCAACACTCTCAGCTGACACCGGCTACCTCTGGGACTCTCTCCTTAGCCCCGCCCAGCAGCAGCTGTAAATCAGGCCCCGCCCTGTATGGGTGGAGCCCCCACAAGCCCCGCCCATCTCTAGGGGTCCTGCCCCACCCTGGTACCCCCTTGGGTGTGTTACTCACAGATGGTGTCTTGCTGAGCTGGGGTCTTCAACACCCCCAAGGGGCTGGTGCTAAAAGAGAGAAAATCCACTTGTAAATGTCATACCCCCCCCCACTCGCAGGGAGATTCCCAAACACACCCAGAGAGCCCCCCATCCTGCCTCACACTGACCCTGTCCCTAACCCCCCCCCCGCCACAACCACTAGACCCCACCCCCCTGCCAGAGCTGGGGACAGAACCCAGGCAGCGGCGACACATGGGTGGGGGCACGCAGGGTCACATGCCCCCCCCAATTCCTCGGTCACATGGTGCAGCCGGGCCCCTCCCTGCAGAGCAGCTGAGCTGGGGAGCTGCGCTGGACAGGGAGAGGCAGAGGCAGGAGCGGAGGAACAGCTGGGAGCTGCGGGGGGGGGGGGTGTCACGGCTTTCCAGGCGGGGGGGGGGGCGTGGTGTGACTCCAGCTGTTCTGGGGCTGTGCCCCTCCACTGTCAACAGGCCCAGGTCATCTCTGAGGAGTCCTGGCCCCCAACCCCACTCCCCACCCCCCCCGAGCCGGGGACAGAACCCAGGAGCCCTGTGACCCCGGCAGGTTGATCGGGAGCGGGGAGGAGCCGGGTTCCTACCTGCTCGGTCTCGGTGCGGCTCCTTTTCCTGCAAAGGGACACAAACCAGAATCCCCCATGAGCCGATCAGGATCCCCCGGTCCCAGCGCCCGGCCACTCACCCCCCACAGGGCAGCAGGGATGGAGGTGCCTGGGGGGTCCCCTCTGCTGCTGGTGCTGAGCCTGGATCCCTGCTGGGCTGGGCCGGACCACCAGGGGGCAGCACAACACCGTAGCTCAGTGGCTCTAAAAAAATGTTTACTGGTGACCCCTTTCACACAGCAAACCTCTGAGTGCGAATCCCCTTATGAATGAAACGCTTTTTAAAATATTTATATTTATGTATTTAACACCATTATAAATGCTGGAGGCAAAGCGGGGTTTGGGGTGGAGGCTGACAGCTCGTGACCTCCAAGGTAATCACTTCGCGACCCCCACAGGGGTCCGACCCCCAGTTTGAGAACCCCTGCCATAGCATGCACGAACCTGATCCACAGGCCGGTGGCTCCCCTGGCACCCCATGTACCTGAGAGGCTCGGTGCCGGTGGCTCTTTATACAGGGACCCCTCGCCCGGTGCTGAGATGCGGCCACCTCTGGGGTGAGGCATGGGGACTGGTAAAATGCAGCCCCTCTGGGACGGGACAGCTGTGTGTACAGGGATTACACATGCAACAGCGCCCTCTGCTGAGCCCCCCTGCTCCTTGGCTTTACCCACACAGTCCCCCATCCAAGCCGTGACCCCATCCCGCCCTGCTGAGCGGCAGGTTTAACCCTTCCCTCGCTGAGCGGGGCACTCACTGGCTCGGGTTTTTCTGAAGCAGACGAAGGCCACGAGGAGAAGGAGGAGGCCGGCGGCTGCCGCGCTCGCCCCGGTGATGATGGGGCTGGTCAGACCCGGAGGTGCCGGCGATTCCGATCCGCCTGGGAAACAGCAGCAGCCGTGAGTGCCGGGAGCGACTGGTCTGTTCCCCCCCCCCAGCCCCTCCCACCCCAGGCGGCGCCCAAGGGGCTGGGACACCGCAGGGCGCAGGCAGCAGAAAATTCTATGGGGAGGATGTCGGGAGGCCCCAGGGCATCAAGTGGGGTCAGAGCCAGCAACATTTGGGGGATTTGTAGCACTGGGGGGTGCTGGGCTGTAGGGCAGGGGGCTCGGTAGGGAGCGCTCCCCCCAGCAGTCAGGGCTGGCCCCATTGCCCCAGCACGGCGCTAGGGGGCGCTGTCTGATCCAGCCTGGCTGTCATTTCTAAGGCATCTCACCCCCTTCCTCATGGCCACATTGACTCAGGCCAACAGGTCCATCTAGCCCGGTATCCCGCCTCCCATGCTGGCTGCCCCTGGCTGCTTCGCGGGGAGCTCCAGCGCCCCCCACACACACACACACCCCTGGCCACTGGTGGGCCCAGCTGCCCCCAAAGGAAGCCTCCGGCTGCCCCGTTAGCGGTGGGTTCATGTCCGAGCAGGAGGCTTCGCTGTCCTCCCAAATCCATCTGCGGGGGGATGGGGAGAGTCAATGCTCCTGAGAACAGCCTCCGTCCCTCCCCCTGGCCAACCACTGGGGGAAGCTGCCCCATAATCTGTGACTCAATAGATTCCCCCCAACCCCGGTACCTGGCCCCGCACTGCCTGGGCAGGTGGGAGCCGGCACCGCTCCAGGCTGGGCTAGGTCAGTTCCCCCTGCGGGAATAGAACCAGTGTCTGTCAGGGCAGGGGGGTAGGGTAAGCCTTAGCACTGGGACCTCCCCTGTGGCCCCGGGACGGGAGGAGGTCTCGCTACCTCCAGCGGTCTCAGGGCTGGGGGAGCTCTCAGGAAGGGAGTCCACGAGGCATCTTTATCCCCATTCTATGGGGTGGGAAACTGAGGCACAGACAGATTCACTTTCTTTAGTGAGCTCCCTGGGGCAGGGACTCTCTTCACTCTGTGTTTATGCAGCACCTGGCACAACAGGGCCCTGATCATGACGTGGCCCCTACATGCACCCGCAACACAAGGGATCCAGCGCTATTGAGGTCAGCATTTGCAGAGGTCTCCACTAACTGTGGGTGTCTCGGTTTGTGGGCGCTTGGCCTGAGATCCCCCAAGATTGAGGCCTCCCCACAATGAAGGACACTTCCGAAAACTGCAACGTTCTCCCATCACACAGAGTCTGTGGCCGCAGCAGGAGCTGGGCCAGATCTCCTGGGTCCCAGCCCAGCGCCGTGTCCACCAAGCCACCACTTCTCCTGCAGCCCCTGCCTCATTCAGCCCCGGCCGGGGCACTGCCTGGGGCGGGGCCTGGAGAACAGGGAGACGGGATCACGGGATTAAATAGCGACTCATGGTTCGTACGCACAAGGGGCAGCGTTAAAGTCACCTCCCTGCCCTGAGACTCCAGGGGCTGCTGCTCCCCCCTGGCTGGGGAACCCCCCAGTGACTCCGTCCCCGCTCCCCGGACGGGCGTCCCCTCTGCGGGGTCAGGGCTCAGGGCAGAGCCTGGCTCTGAGCATCCCATTGGCACCGAGCCCCCTTGAGGGTCTGGCTGGGGGTGGGGCTGGGAACGGGGAGGCCGAGCCAGGCCCCTCACCTCTCAGCACCAGCTCCACGGGGTCGCTGGGGTACGACACGGCGAACGGCTCCGATGTGCTGTGATAGGAGCAGCTGTAGCTCCCGCCGTCCTCCCGGCTCATGTTGCTGATGGGAAACACAACCTCCAACCGGTCCGAATCCACAGGCTGGAAATGACGTCGCTCTTTATTCAGCACGAACCGCACGCCCTGGCGCTGCCCCCGACACCAGACGCTCACAGCTCCCCCCAGGGAGACCCCCCCGCTGGGGCTCAGCAGGGAGATGTTGGGTTTGGGGTAGCTGGGCTCTGCAGTGGGAAGCAGAGAGGCCATGAGACGCAGGCCCCGTCACTCTTTCCTGGGGCCCGTCCTCACCACGCGGCCTCAGTGGTGGGTCAGACCCGGCGGCCCTGGGGACGGGCTCCTGGATGCCTTTCCACAGGGGCCAGAGTTTCCTCTGAGCGCTGGGCTAACAGCATGAGACACGGAGCAACCCCAGCCCCTGGGGCCCAGAGCTCTGCTCCCTGGCAGGTGACAGGCCAGTCCAGTCTCCAGGGTCAATTCACTCCCTGGCTTCTCTGCTGGGAGGGCTGGGAGCCAGGACTCCTGGGTTCTGTCCCCGGCTCTAGGAGGGAAGTGGGGTCTAGTGTGGAGAGCAGGGAGGATAAGGGCCAGGACTCCTGGGTTCTGTGCACAGCACCACCACTGACTTGTAGGGAACTGTGCAAGTCTCTACTATACACTGAGGTTTATAACCTTCAGCTCCGCCCATCACCCCATAACTGATGTGTTGCCTGGGAAAGGCCCCCCTGCTCTGCAGCTCACCCTGGGGGCAGGGATCCCTCCTTCCTCTGCCCCAAATCTCCAGTGGCTGCTTCTCCCCCCTGGCTGGGGAACCTCCCAGTGACTCCGTCCCCGCTCTCCGGCCCAGCATCCCCTCTGCTGGGCCCAGGGCTCAGGGCAGAGCCTGGCTCTGAGCCTCCCATTGGTGCCGAGACCCCCTGTGGGTCTGGCTGGGTGTGGGGCTGGGAGCCGGGGCACTGAGCCGGGCCCCTCCCTCACCTCCTACAATGATCTCGACGGGGTCGCTGGGATGCGATGAGCGACTCTGTTGCGTTATGGAGCGATAGTCGCAGGTGTAGCTCCCTCCATCTTCCCGGCCGACACTGGGGATGGGAAATTCAGCCACGGTCCCATCAGGCACCGACTGCTCCTGCAGGTTCGGGCGTCCAGCTTTACGCAGAAAGAACTCCATGCCCGGGTACAAACCCGCACAGCGGATGGTGACGCTTCCCCCGAGCACCACCACCCTGCTGGGGCTCACCCAGATGGTGGGTTTGAGAAATTCACGCCCTGCTTTCAACAAGAGACAGGAGTTAAACAGGGGAGACACAGCCCCCCGCCTCCCCCTACCCCAATTCAGTCCATCCGTCATTCGGCCTCTGTAGGAGTCTGTCCCCTATCAGGGTTGGCACTGCCTGCCCATGGGGCTCGGGGGCAGGGGGTTCACCCAGACGTAGCTCAGGACCTGGCTGCATCAGAGATCACCTGCCCCCGCCCCGGCCCCACCTGAAGCCAGCCAGGGAGCCTGACCACTGGCCCCCTGCAGCTCTGCCCCCCCGCCCCGGGGTTGGAAATAGAGTCTGTGACCGGCGGGAGTGGTGTAGATAAATCTCTGCATTAAGCATCTTCACATAACTTTCCTATGACTTTGTATTATGCCTCTTCATATAACCTTGTATTAACTCTTTCCATATAGAACCTCTATTTCCATACAACTTTGTATCAAGTCCTTATAGAGAAACTTTGTATTGAGCCTTGGTATAATGTTATAGCCCCTAAGGATAGTTAAGGTAGAAGGAAAATGTCTTTTCGCTAGGAGTAAAATAAAATCTCCCCCCTTTTAATCAATTGCCCTGTTGAATGAACGAGGTGTGAATGAGGAAGGCGTGGAAGGCAGCACCTCCAGACAGCTGCAACAGTTGGAGAGGGGATGGAAACCACACCCAAGGACAATAAAACTTGTCCAGTGGGCTCACTAAAGATCAGACATACTGAGGGCCTTGGGAGTTAGAAGCCAGCACCTTCTTTTGAAAACACCCTCTTTGAACTTAAATGTGGCAGCATTAAGACAACACCCAGAGAGAAGCAGCACAAAGGACCAAAGGGACACAGACACAGATTTTGCATCTGGTGTAGATTTGCATGAGAGGGAAGCTGCTATAAATGTGAGGTGTCTTGCAGGGGATCTCGGGTCTCGTCTTGTCAACATGGGAGCATCGAGCCGGATCGGCAGAAGCCCGGCTCCACCCCTCCCCCATCTAACTCACCTGGCCAGTGAAGTTAAGGGGAGCAACTAATTGGTAACAACAACAAGACGGAGTGTGCTTGTGTGTGTATGTGAGTGCATGAGTGTAATATAGATCATATGCATATCATACAGTGTTGATGGATACATGTATTACCACTGTGGCACTTTGGTACTTTGTGGCGCTTTGCCTTATCCCCCCTGAAAAGACCCTGTGTGGTACTTTAAGTACAACATGACCCAAAGAGGTCGGGGTGCATGATCACCTGCCTACCGAGGTGCTAGTGGGTAATGACTTGGAGAACTGGCCGGATAGCACTCAGAGCGTCCTTACCCGGAGCCGGAGCCAGCGAGGGACACAAGACCTCCTGAGTGGGGGGGGCCGAAGCACCGAGGGGGGGGCTCGACAGGGCTGGGCCGGAGCCTCCGTCCCAAAGTGGGGAACCTGAGGCACCACCAGCCAGGGCTGTATCCTCCAACCCAGCAGCTGAATTCCAGACGGAGCTGCAGGAGTATCCCTCCTTGGAGAAGCTGAGGGCCCTGGCTGGCCACGGCGGTGCAGGGTCCCAGGGGGAGGACCGCCGGGAGCGATTCCTGTGGGAGAAGGGATTCCTGTACCGGGAATGGACTGGTTCAGGGCAAACTGAACCTTGGGAAGCCAGGAGGTAGTAGGGTGACCAGACAGCAAGTGTGAAAAATCGGGACAGGGGGTTGGGGGTAATACGAGTCTATATAAGAAAAAGACCCAAAAATCGGGACTGTCCCTATAAAATCGGGACATCTGGTCACCCTAGGAGGTAGTTGGTTGTTCCCCAGAGGTACCGCCACAAAGTGTTGTACTTGGCCCACGATATCCCCCTTTCGGGGCATCAGGGCATCTGGCGCACCAGGCAGAGGCTGCTGCAGAACTTTTACTGGCCCGGGGTCTTTGACGCTGTCCAACAGTATTGCAGGTCCTGTGACTCCTGCCAGAGGGTGGGGAAGGTCCGGGATAAGTGTAAAGCCCCGCTGAGACCTTTGCCCGTCATAGAAGGGCCTTTCCAGAAGGTGGCCGTGGACATAGTGGGGTCCCGCAGCAGGGTGACCCGGTCAGGGAAGAAATACATCCTGGTGGTGGTAGATTTTGCTACGCGCTACCCCGTGGCGGTGGCCTTGTCCTCTATCGAGGCAGACACCGTGGCAGACGCGCTGCTGACCATTTTCAGCAGAGTGGGGTTCCCCAAGGAAGTCCTTACAGACCAGGGGTCCAACTTCATGTCAACCCTGCTCCAGTGTTTGTGGGAGAAGTGTGGGGTCCGACACACCTGGGCCTTGGCGTACCTCCCTCAGTCCAACGGGCTGGTGGAGAGGTTCAACAGGACCCTAAAGATGATGCTGAAAACCTTTATGGACCAGCACCCGCAGGACTGGGACAAGTATTTGCTCCACCTGCTGTTCGCATACAGAGAAGTGGACCAGGAATCCACAGGGTTTGAGTTGCTGTACGGGAGGAGAGTGAGGAGGCCCCTGGACTTGATGAGGGCCGAGTGGGAGGGGAAGGCCTCTCCCAATGGGGAATCAATGGTGGAGTATGTACTGACTTTCCGGGAAAAGCTCGTGGAGCTCATGGGCTTGGCCAGGGGAAACCTAGCAAGGGCCCAGAGGAAGCAGAAGGTCTGGTACGACCGCTCAGCACGTGCCCGTGCCTATGCTACCGGGGACCAGGTGATGCTTCTCATCCCCGTGAGGAAGAACAAGCTGCAAGCGGCCTGGGACGGCCCCTTCAAGGTCACCAGACAGGTAAACGAGGTGAACTATGTAGTCAAGGCCATCCCTACCCATATGCAAAGTACGCAGCTGTGTAGGGCACCAGGAAAGCTATGTGATGCTCCAGCCCCTGCTCCGCCTCTTCCCTCCCCTGCTCTGCCCCAACTCCACCCCCTCCCCATGGCCCCCGCCCCTGCTCCACCCCCGCCTCGCCCCTTTTCGCCCCCACTCCACCCCCTCCCCAGGCCTTGGGAATGGAGGGGGGGCTGTGAGTGCAGGGGAGGGTGCTGGAGGGTGGATCTGGGTCTGGGGGAAGATCTGGGGGTGGGGGTGGATCTGGGGGGTTCTCCCCCACAGCTGCACTGACCGGGAACGTTTCGGTTCCCTGAGGGGATCTAGAGCCCACGGACGGGCCCTGTTAGCATTTGTATGAGTTGAAATAAATCCACGGGCCACCCCCCACCCCCGATCCTCTGAGCCTGTGGGGGCAGGACATTGAACCAGGGGACGGTTCCCGCCTGCTTCATCAGATTTGGCTCCTAGTTACTCCGTGGGTGCGTTGGGGGCACAGAAGAACGGGGACAGGTCTGAGCTCACGGGGGGAGTCTGGGTTGAGTTTTGGGGAAGGTTCAGGGCTCAGTTCCTCTTTTCCCCACCCCATGCATCCCCTCCCCCATCCTTGATGTTACCGTCCTCCCCACAGACTGATACTCACCTCCCCACACCCCGCTGTGCCCGGCCAGCCAGCAGCCTGGAGAGGAGACGGCTCGTTAGTGACCAGATCCCAGAGCGACTGGATCCTACACCCTGGTCTCAGATCCCCACCCCCCACCATGGGCACACGCCCTGGTCTCAGATCCCCCCCCATGGGCACACGCCCCGGTCTCAGACACACACACACACACCCCACCCGTGGACACACACTCTGGTCTGAGATCCTTCCCCCCCCCCCCCCCCGGCCCCCCCCCCTGGCTGTCTCTGACTCTGATACTCACCGAGGAGGAGGACGGTGAGAGCAGACGCCATGACGGGGCAGTGGGGGGCCTCTCAGCGCTGCCACCAACGCCCTAGAGCCCAGCTCCACCCAGCCTGAGGCCCGAGTGTGAGCAGAATGAGGAACTGCGCCGGGGGCTGCAGCCCCAGGAAACCCCTGATGCGCTCGGCCCCTTTCTTCCCCATCAGATGGTTTCTCAGCAATCTCCAGCCCAAATCTACTGTGGTCAGAGCAAAGCCAGCTCCCTGCAACACCCAGCAAACCACATCCCCTCCTGCAGGTGCCTGGTTACCACATCACCTTCCAGCCCCACATGGGAGCTGCCCAGTCCAAGGACCAGGTGGGAAAGGGGAAATCTCAGGAGGTGTCAAGAGGTGCCCAGGCTGCCCTGACCTTTTCCAACAGGCCCGTCTAGCCTCCCTGGAGCAGCAGCTCAAAGCAGAGGAGGGCTCCCCACCCCCACACAGTGCCCCCCCCCGCCAGAGTGACCCTCTCCCATGGAGCTGGGAAAAGATTCCTTCCTGACCCGGCTGGGCCCAACACCCGCCCTGGAGCATGAGGGTGGAGGGGCCTGGCCAACCTCCTTCTCGGGTAGAGTCGCTGCTGACGCAGTTCTTAGCCAAGTGATGTGGCACAGAGACAGGACAGAAGGGTGTGGGGCTGGGAGGGGTTGTGGTTTCCGGCACCTGTGAAGGGGTGGACGTAGGGGTAAATTTAGACCCTGAGTTGTTAAAGGAGGAACCGGTAAATCTGTGAAAAGGGGAAGTCTGCCCAGAGCTGGAGCTCGCTTCCTGTTTCTGGTACCAAAAAAACCAACGAGGAGTCCTTGTGGCACTTTAGAGACGAACACATTTAGTGAAACTCGGCATAAACCTGATGCCTCGCTGGCTACCTTGTAATATACCCCGGCTCTGGGAGGGGAGTGGGGTCTAGTTATTGGGGGGGTGGGGGACTGGTTGGGGGTGGGGTCTGGTGCTTAGAGAAAAGGACACAGATCAGAGCCAGTCCCCTAGAGGTGAAAGGCCCCGTGTCCCTTCCCCAGCCCATCCCCAGGGCCGTGGGTCTGCGCAGGTCAGGGCCCAGGGCAGAGCTCACGGGGCGGACGGCTGAGCCGAGCTTCCCTCTCCGACCCCAGGATGCTGCGAAAGGGACACCCAGAATGGCGGGGGGGGGGCGACCAGCCTCCTGGAAAGGGGAGGGGACAAGAACATGGGGACAGAGCTCAAGACAACCCCGCCCCGGCAGATGCCCCAGCTCTGGCTCCCCAGCTCGTTTGCCCTTCACCCCCCACCCCCGACGTTCACACATTGGGCCCCTCAGCCCCCCGTTCTGCCCCCTGGCCGGTGTCCCCTCCCCCATTCTGTCCCCCGAGCCTGAGTTCCCTCACGTCCCCCCTCCCCCCATTCAGGTTCCCATTCCCCCAGTTCTGTCCCCCATCCCGTGTCCCTTCACCCCCGTTGTGTCCCCTCATGCCCCACGTCCCCTCCCC